AAAAAAAAAAAAAAAAATATATATATATATATATATATATATATATATATATATAATTATTCTTTCGTTTCACGTGGTGCCCTAGGCAGTGCTGTGCATTTGTTCTTTTCCATCCTCTGTAACTTGAGAGGAACTGGGGTGAAATAATAAAAGAACACATTTGCCTTTTCAGCTGGGGTATGCCAGTCTCTGGTGTTTTGTGGAAATAATAACAAAGGCAAATGGAATGGGTGGATAGCCATGAAAAGATGATCAGAGTGCTTCATAGCTTCAAAATGTATTTCTATCTCCTGTAGGAAGTACTTCTGTTTCCTGCCATGAAACCTGAAGACAAGAAAGAGAATGTTGCAAGTACTGATACACTAGAAAGTACAACAGCTGGCACTTCTGTCTAGAAAATAATAACTGCAAGTTGTATAACGCAGGCTTCATTGCATTTCTGCAAAAGATCAAGGTCTGCAAGGGAATTTTTGTGTGTTGCTACCCATTTGGCTGCCACAGTTCAGTTGAACCACCAGAAGAGAGATGAGGAATTGAGGATTCCTTTTTATTCCTTATTACCAAATAAACCACTTGTCTCTTGTCTTGACCTTTGAAACGTCAACTTTTCTCCCAGATTGCTGACTTAAAGAATGTTTAGGATTCTACCATCTTATTAATTAAACAAGTTTATATTAATGTCTGCTCTGGACCAACATTGTTTTAAAGGATTGGAGACACAACAGTGAACAAAAACCAAGTCCCTTCTTTTGTGAAACTTGTATTTTTCCTTTGGGGTTGGGGAGAGAAGTAGACAAACAAGTAAATAAATACATATTATTTCTGGTGGTGTTAAATACTAAAATGAAAAATGGAGCAGGGTAACGGGGCAGAGGTGCTATTTTAGAGGTAGAGGGTTTTTAAATTTTATTTATTTATTTATGTTTTGAGTTGGAATCTCACTCTGCCACCCAGGCTGAAGTGCAGTGGCACCTTCATGGCCACTGCAGCCTCGACATGCTGGGTTCAGATGATCCTTTCACCTCAGCCTTCCACGTAGGTGGAACCACAGGTATGTGCCACCACACCCAGTTAATTTTTTTTTTTTAATTGTAGAAATGAGGTCTTGCCATATTGCCCAGGTTAGTCTCAAACCTGTTGACTTAGGCAATTCTCTGCCTTCCATCATGTTGGGATTATAGGTGTGAGCCACTGCACCTGCCCTAGGGGATTTTAAGTCTGGTGATTAGGAAGACCTCTGCTAGGTGACGTTTAAGTAGAGATCTGGAGACTGACCTAGGGAGATCTGTGGGAAAGGGCAATCTGGACTGGAATGCATTTTTGAGGAGTGGCAGAGGGTCTTTTTATCACCGGAGAGGAGTCAGTGAGGGACCATTTTATGCAGGACCCTAAAAGCCATGCAGAAAAGTGTGTATTGTATGATTGAGTGGAAGCCTTGGGAAGGTTTTTGTTTTGTTTTGAGTTCAGGTCTCAGTCTGTTGCCCAGGCTGGAGTACAGTGGTGTGATCATGGCTCACGGCAGCCTTGACCTGGGCTCAGGGGATCCTTCACCTCAGCCTCCTGAGTAGCTGAGGCTATGGACGTGTGCCACCATCCCTCATTAATTTTTTGGTGTTTTTTTTTTTGAGTTGGAGTCTCACTCTGTTGCCCAGGCTGGAGTGCAGTGGCACACTCACAACCACCGCAGTCTCAACCTACTGGGCTCAGGCGATCCTTCTGCCTCAGCCTTCCAAGTAGCTGGAACCATAGGCATACATCACCATGCCTGGCTAATTTTTTGATTTATTGTAGAGACAGGTCTCGCCAAGTTGCCCAGGCTGGTCTCAAACCCTTGGGCTCAGGCAGTCCTCTTGCTTCCGCCTCCCACAGTGCTGGGATTACAGGCATAGGCCACCGTACCCGGCCCAATTTTTTGTAGAAACAAGGTCTTGCTATGTTGCCCCAACTGGTCTTAAACTCCTGCTCTCAAGTGATTCTTCCTCCTTGGTTCCCAAAGTGCTAGGATTACGGGCCTGAACCACCATACCTTTCCATGGGAGGGTTTTTGAGCAAAGGAATGTTTCTCAAGGATTATTTGAGCTCTGGTGTGGAGGGCAAGCATAAAGCAGGTAGACCAGTGGGCTGTTGCCATTGGTTGAGGAGAGATGGCAGCTGGGACTTGGGTGGTAGCAATGGAAGTGGTTGCAAGTGGCTAGATTTCGCCTGTGTGCCTGAAGGCAACAGAATTTGTGGATGGAATGTGGGTTGTGAAAAAGATTTCAAGGTTTGAGGCCTGAACAACTGAAAAAAAGGTGCTATTTACTGAGGTGGGAAAAACAGGAAGTGCAGGTTTGAGGAGTCTGAAATGTTCTCATTATTTTCAGTTCAATTCTGCAGGGCTAAGAATGTAGTCAGAGCGTGGCTGAGGGCCTGCTGTAAAAATGGGAGCCCCTCCTTGACACACGGAGACAGCTGGGAGTACCTTTTTTCAGATGAACTATATGACAAATGACTTGTCTTTCGCCCCTCAACAAAACCTCTGCAAGCATCGGAGTTTAGCTGCCAGTCTAGTTTCACAGAACAGGTTTTTACTTCTGCAGCTAGTAAAACTATCCAAGTATGCAAAGTTATCTGAGAATTACTTCAGGGAGCACTAAACATCCCACCCCTGCTGGTTTTGAAGCAGAAGATAACCAGGTGGTATTTCAGGAGAAACACTTATATGGTACATCCTCAGCAAGGTATTTGTAACCAAAGTGGAGACAACCATCTCATCAAGGGAAAGGGAAGAGGGTCAAGACCAGAAGGGACTGGATTCAGGCAACTCTTGTCAATGTAGACCATTGGAAAAGCTTACACAGATTAATGAGGTAATAGGTGACTTTACAGAGTTGTTTAGTAGGAGGCTGGGGGCAGATGCCAGGTGTCCGACCTTAAGGAGACAGGATAGAGAGAAACCGAGGCAGCAGTAGACAAGTTGTATGTGGGGGTTGGTAGGAAAAAATGACAAATAGTATGAAAACTAGAAGGCACAGAATGATCATAAAGTCCCCATTGTCTCCTCAAATAGTTTTAAGTCTCACAATTTGCTAACTGCTGTACTAGGGAGACCAGAAACAGGCATAGTCCCAAGCTTCATCAAGCTTCTAGACTTGTAAAAAAAAAAAAAAAAAGAAAAAAGGAAACAGGAGCAGTCACACTTGTAACTCCAGCACTTTGGGAGGCCAAGATGGGAGGATCACTTGAGATTAAGAGTTTGAGACCATCCTAGGCAACATAGACCCTGTCTCTAATTTTTAAAAACAAAATATGAAAAGAAAATAGGCCAGGCATGGTGACTTAAGCCTGTAATCCCATTACTTTGGGAGGCTGAGGCGAGAGGATTGCCTAAGCTCAGGGGATCAAGACCAGCCTGGGCAACTTGGTGAGACCTCATAACTACAATAAATCAAAAAATAAGGCGGACGTGGTAGTGTGTGCCTGTAGTTCCAGCTACTTGGAAGGCTGAGTCAGAAAGATCACCTGAGCCCAGCAGGTCCAGACTGAGTGGCCATGAGCTGCCACTGCACTGCAGCCTGGGTAACAAAGTGAGACTCTAACTCAAGGGAAAAAAAAGACATTTAATAAATCATTCCAAAAAATTGCATTAAATGGCAGCTTGAATAAATACTTTGAAGGAGAGGTCCACGGGGTATTGAAAAACTAACAGACCTAGTTAGGAAAGGTTTCCTTGAGGACATTAGATATGAAATATGAAGGGGGGCGCTTTCCATGGTATGGCAAGTGCAAAGGCCCTGTGGCAGGAAGGGGGCATGGAGAAGGTCAGTGACACCAGATAGAGTACAAAAACCCAAAGAAATGGCACCAGGTGAGGCAGGAATGGGAGGTCCATGCAGGACTGTGAGCCCTACTATAGGATTTCATCTGTATTAAGAGTGCTGGGGCTGGTCCAAGGTAGTAGTTGTCTCTACTGTTCAGTCAGTTACAGATTGAACACCTTCTACTCTTTACCCCCTTCTCACTACTGCACTTGACTAGTCTAAAATAAGGTAAAAGAGTGCTGGGAAGCCACTGAAGTATTTAAGCAGTGGGGTGACATAACATGTGGTTTGAAAAGATGTCTGCTCTGTGGAAAGCAAATTGGAGTTCCGCAAGAAAAGGTGAAAATTGAAAATTGTAGTAATATGAAAGGGGGACAGCAGCGGCTTAGACTAGGATGTTGCCACGGGAAGTGGAGAGAAGTAGATGGATTCAAGAGATGAGAGGTAAAGTCAACAGGACTTGATAATAGATTATATTAAGGAAATTAAGGGAAGGGAAATAACAAGACAACTCACTTTTTAGTTTTTGCAATTAGGTCAATGGTAATTCCAATTCCTAAATAAAGAACCCTAGAAGATGATCCCACCACCACCACCAGGATCAGTGTTTCTTTAAAGACAGAAGTGGGAGTCCATTGCAGATTAAAGATGTTGGGGAGGAATGAGAAGCAGGGACCTTAGCCTTGGGGAGCTGTGGCCCTCTTCCTTTGAAGTGAAAAAAAGGATGAGGTCAAGCAAGATGCACTTTTGTCTAACTTTTGGGGGATAACAACAAAAAATCCATTCTCACGTCTTTAGCAATGAAGGCATACAACTGCTGGGTGGGAAAGGCTTCTGAATATCCAAACAGCTATACTACCTATTCCTAGTAATCTGAAAGTTTTAGACCTGCACTGTCCACTACAATAGCCACTAGCCACATGTGACTGACTATTAAGCATTTGAAATGTGGCCCTGCTGGGTGCCGTGGCTCATGCCTGTAATCCCAGCACTTTGGGAGGCCCAGGAAGGAGGATCGCTGGAGCCCAAGAGTTTGAGCAACTTGGTGAGACCCATCTGTACAAAATATAAAAAATGAGCCAGGCATGGTGGTTCCCATGCCTATAGTCCCAGCTACTCTGGAGGCTGAGGTGGAAAGATCACCTGAGTGCAGAGGTCGAGGCTGCAGTGAGTCGTAATCGTGCCTCTGCACTCCAGCCTGGGTGACAGAGAAGACTCTGACTTAAAAAAAGAAAAGAAAAGAAAACAAAGAGTAGGGGAAGGAAGGAAGAAGAAAGAAGAGAAAAAGGAGGAGGTAGGGGAGAAGAAGGAGGAGGAGGCGAAAGAAGGACGAGGAAGGAGGAAAAGGAGAAGAATGTTGTGGTTGTTCCAAATTGAGATGTAAGTGCATATATCAGATTTCTTAAAGTTTGCATCTAGATATTTTTTAAAATATTGATTACACGCTGAAATGATACTATTTTGGATATCTGGATTAAATAAACTTTGATTAAAATATACGATTAAAATTCTTTTGACTTCTTTAATGGTGGCTACTAGAAAACTTTAAATTACATATGTGGTCCGGATTGTGTGTGTATTTATATATATATATATATTTATACACATACAATTTATATATATACATACTTTTTTTTTTTGAGTTGGAGTCTCTGTCGCTCAGGCTGGAGTGCAGTGGCTGCTACTGCAGCCTAGACTCGCTAGGCTCAGGCGATCCTTCCACCTCAGCCTTCCAATTAGCTGGAACTACATACTCGCGCCACCACGCCCGGCTAATTTTTGATTTATTGTAGAGACGAGATGTCATGTTGCCCAGGCTGGTCTCAAAAATGCGGGCTCAGGCAATTCTCGCCTCACGCTGGGATTACAGGCGTGAGCCACCGCGCCCGGCTCGAAGTATATTTTTATCGGACACTGCTGTTTTAGACAGAAATTCAAACTCGCGTCCCAAGATACATCCGATTTGAAATCATATCTAACCCGCTGGCGGTTCCCGTCAGCTAGTTTCCTGAATCCCCAAGCACGCCGCCTGGGCTGCGGGACTCTAAATTCACGGCGGCCCTGACTCCGCCCCCCAAGGACTACAAGGACCAGCGTGCACTGCGCGCCTCTGGGGGCGAGACCTGGAAGGAGCAGCCGCTTTTTGACGTCACGTCCGCCTCGCAGCCTGGTTCTGCTAGTTGCCCCGGAGGCGCGAGCCGTTGAGGTGGGAGGGGGGCGTCCGCGAGGTGTTGGGGTCGGGGATCTGGGAGACTCCAGGGCAGGCGCTTGCGGCCTAACTTTAGCGAGCCCGTTTTGTGTGGGAAGAGGGTGTGAGGACAGTGTCTTCCCGAACACGTGTCACGTCCCGGGACGTGCCGCCCCGCACCTGGGGATGGCAAGAGCCGCCGCGTGAGTGTCCCCGGCAACTGGCTAGCGTGTGACCTCGCAGCCGCGGGCCGCCTGAGCCAGTGAGCCGGGTGCGCACGCTGTCCCTGCTGTATGTCCTCAGGGCTTTGTCTAGCGCCTCTCTTGTAGCTGGCAGGACCGGGACCTCACCCCAGGTCTCCGGAGCGGCCGAGAAAGGGCTCTGCTTCCGGGAGTGGTTAGGAACGTCCTTAGCTTCGCTAAAGCCTGGTTTCCCCTGGCAGCGGGTTTCACTGTTAGTGGGTCCTATGGCTTGTTGCTGCTGAAGATACGAACTTCTGGGCAAAGAAATGCCTGTTTAACTGAGCTGCTATTTTATAGGAAGAAGTTAAAGAAGGATTTCTTTTTTTAATTTTAAAGATGTGGAGTACGATTCAGGGTTAGATACACATGCGGTCATCGTACAGGTAAAGTTTGGGCCTCCCTTTGGTCCTCACTTTGCCTGGTTTGAGATCGGGTAAGAGAGGTTTCAATATCTAGGAGAGGATGTAGGCTTGAGTTATAAACAATCCAGTATATCAAACTTCATTTCACCAACTGTGCAGCTCATTCAGACAGGAGTAAGGAGATGGCTTGCTTTATCTCGGGGTGTCATCATTCTTCTGGCAAGTTCTACCTTCTTTAGCTATTGAAGTTTGTGATGTGCACCTCTTTTAATTTCAGGTTGATGGCAGGGTGTCTGTCTTGGCATGCCTCCCTGAGAATGAACTCTCCCTTTCCAAGAAAGATTCTAGTATCGTTCATGCTTTTCTTTGCTCCAAGTGTTAGAAGATTTCTGCTGGTTCTCTGACTTGAAGGTCACAATTTCTGTCAGTTCCTGCCAGATTTTTGTGTTAAATCACTATGGTCTGTCTGATTTGCCATTGCATTTACTACAGGAATGGGCCTGCACATTGTAATGCAGGAAGACTCGTTGTAGAAATACCACCTTTCAGAAGCTACATGCACTGGGGCTTAGGAAGACTTGTTTTTTGTTTTCGTTTTGCAATGCTTAGCTATATGGTCACCATATGACCTCATCTTCCACTAAGAAGCTTGTTGCATAATTGAGTCGAAATGAGGTCAGGATGTTTCTAATGAGCATCAATAGAACCAAGAGGGGGAGAATTTCCAGCAAAGTATCCTAGTCCTCTTTCAGGTCTGTTCTGCTAAATGGGTTTTTATTCATGGTTTTATATGCCCATTTCAGTTCTTTCCCCTTTCCTCCCCCCACCCCCTCCACTGCCAAGTAGCTCAAGGGAAATTAGCCAGGAAAATCATACAAGGGGAGACTTTTTCTCCTTCGAATATTCCTTTTCCCTGTCAGAGATGGTGGAATGATACATTGCTATACTGTGCAACATTGTTTCTTGTAATATTAATCACAGTCGACATTAATTATAGCTGGGCATGGTGGCGCATGCCTGTAGTTTCAGCTAGTTGGAAGGCTGAGGCAGAAGGGTTGCCTGAGCCCAGCAGGTTGAGGCTGCGGTGGCCGGGAGCGTGCCACTGCACTCCAGCCTGGGAGACAGTGAGACTCCAACTCAAAAAAAAAGACATGAATTATGCTCTACATTTTAGCTTTTTATAAGCATTGTTTAATCTTCACAATAAGTAATATTATTATCTTTATTTTAACAGATGAGGAAACACAGGAAAGTTAATCTGTTCAGTATCACACAATTAATTTGTGGCAAAGACAAAAACTTTTTTTTTTTTTTTTTGAGTAAGAGTTCACTCTGTTGCCTAGGTTGGAGTGCAGTGCCACGCTCAGGATCACCGCAGCCTTGGCCCTCCGGGCTCAGGTGATCCTTCTGCCTCAGCCTTCCAAGTAGCTGGAACTACAGGTGGGCTACCATGCCTGGCTAATTTTTTGATTTATTGTAGAAATGAGGTCTCCAACCCCTGGACTCACTCATTCCTCTTGCTTCTGCCTCCCAAAGTGCTAGGATTTACAGATTTGAGCCACCATGCCCACTAAAGTCCAAACTTTTGTGAGAACACCTGACTGCTGAGAAACCTCTCAGTTGGGACTTACTCTATAGAAGGAAGTAGAGAAGAACTCTGCTGTGGGGGAATGAAGAGAAAAATAAAAAGCCCAGAAAAGAACATCTGTCCAGAAGGATAAACCTTGTACAGTGAGGGTCTGCCCAAAGCAGGCTGAGATCTACAACACTTTACGTGCTATTTCCAAATGAAAATTGGAGTAGTGATACTTTGATGCGCTTCTGTGTTGAGTAGTGGACTCAGATTCATTAGAAATGTATCAGATATCTAACTTTTTTAAAAAATACTTAAAAAAAAATAAAAAATACTTGAAGAAACAGGGTGTCTTCTGAGGTTGGTGGAATTTGGAGCTTCTTAGATCTTTCATTACAGATGGCAAGGAGGCAGGGAGGTAGTAGGAGAAAATGATCCACAGAGTTCCAGATAGAAGAACCTCAGTTTGAACACAGTTGGCCTCCCTTTGAAGGACTGTGGAGGCCCTGGTTCTCCCTTCTGTACTTCTGACAGTTGTGGGTTTTGACCAGGGTCTCAGCACCAGCTCAGACCATGTGGACTGCAGAGGAGATTGCTCAGCTGTGCTATGAGCACTATGGGACCAGGCTGCCCAAGCAGGGGAAGCCTGAACCAAATCGTGAGTGGACATTATTGGCTGCTGTGGTGAAGATAAAATCTCCAGCTGACCAGACCTGTGACACTCCCGATAAGCTAGTGCAAGGTGAGATGCTTTTTCATTAGAACACTCCTCCTGCCTGTCAGGGGTGGTAGGATATACATTGCTTTACCATGCAGGGACTGTTGTGGCAGGGTGTAAATGACAATGTTAGGCATATGCCCTTGCCCTCCACAGTATTTCTGCGGCGAGAGACCACGATGCTGGAACTGTGGAATTCAGGTTGATTGGGCGTGTGGTAATCTCCTGGAGGAATGTGCAGAGTGATTAGACTTGAGCACTGGGGAGCATTCAGCCTTTGAGCCCTCAATTTCATGATTTGTTTTTTCCCCTCAGTGACAAAAGAAGTTGTCTCCATGGGAACGGGAACAAAATGCATAGGACAGTCCAAAATGAGGAAGAGTGGTAAGCACGGTTGGGAATCTAAGAAAAAATTTAGCTTTGAAAACCAGTGTTGGCTGGGCATGGTGGCTCAAGCCTGTAATCCCCACACTTTGGGAGGCCAAAGTGAGAGGACTACCTGAGCCCAGGGGTTCCAGATCAGCCTGGGCAACTTGGTGAGACCTCCTCTCTGCAATAAATCAAAAATAGCTGGGCATGGTAGTGTGTGCCTGTAGTTCCAGCTACTTGTAAGACTGAGGTCAAAGCATCGCCTGAGTCTGCCAGGTTGAGGCTGCGGTGACCTGAGCATGCCCCTGCCCTCCAGCCTGGGTGACAAATGAGACTCCAACTCAAAAAATAAAAATAAAAGAAAATCAGTGTTAACCTTTATTCTCTTTGTGAGGAAAAGGGGCTGCATCAGTTGAGGTTGCTGACCTTTTGTTTCCTATTACTGTGGCTGCAGTTAAAAGGACAGTACTCACTTAAAGGATAGAAATCCACCATCAAAGCAAAGCCGCCAGGACCATGCCTTCTGAGTAAACAAAGCTAGCCAGTATTTTCTTTTTTTTTCGAGTTGGAGTCTCACTCTGTCACCCAGTCTGAAGTGCAGTGGCCACTCCCAGCCACCGCAGCCTCGACCTGCTGGGCTCCAGTGATCCTTCTGCCTCAGCCTTCCAAGTAGCTGGAACTACAGGCATGCGCTACCATGCCCGGTTCATTTTGTGATTTATTGTAGAGATGAGGTCTCGCCAAGTTGCCCAGGCGGGCCTCGAACCCACAGGCTCAGGCAATCCACTCACCTTAGCCTCCCAAGGGGTGGGATTACAGGCTGAGCCACTGAGCCCGGCTTAGCCAGTATTTTCATACTCAAACCACAGGTTCCCTGGGCTTGGCTATTCTACATTGCATCTGGAAGGCTTTGAGGCTCTACAGCAGGTACAGGATAAAGCTTGAGTGGCTTGTGAAGCCCCAGAAAGATCTTGAATTAAATGGGCCTCAGCAAGAATATGGAAGTCCCTCAGAGATCTGGGATCTTGATCTCTGCATCCTTCCCACGAGCAGGCTACTCTTTGAGTTTATTTTCCTCATTCTCCAAGCCTTGCTGTTCTGGGACCACTGTGGATTCAGTTGGATAGAAGTGTATCACCATAAGCACAAGTATTCAGGATACAAAGGATCTGGACCTCTGTCCCCCATATAAAGATTTTTCTATAAGTCAGTGATTCTCAAGTGGGGAAGACTTTACACCCCAGGGGACATTTGGCAATGTTTGAGACATATTTGGTTGTCACAGCTGGGGTAGGGGATGCTACGAGTATCTCCTGGTAGAGGCCAGGAATGCTGGTAAACAACCAACAATTTACAGGATAGACTATCACAATAGTTTTCTAGCCTAAAACATCTACAGTGCTGAGTTGAGAAACCCTGATATAAATGCATTGTAATGGATACAGTGGCTCACACCTATAATCTTAGCACTTTGGGAGGCTGAAGCAGGAGGATTGCTTGAGACCAGGAGTTCAAGACCAGCCTGGGCAACATAGCGAGACTTCATATCTACAAAAAAATTAGCTAGGCTTGGTGGCTTGCACCTGTAGTCCCTGATACTCGGGAGACTGAGGTAGGAGGATCACTTAAGCCCAGGAAGTCGAGGATGCAGTGAGCCTTGATCATGCCACTGCACTCCAGCCTGGGCGACAGAGTGAGAATCAATCTCATAACAAAAGCATTGTCATTCACGATTGTGACACCTTCTGGCAAAGCCCTTCAGGAGCTCCGTGGCCATCCTGGGTGCTAGAGGGACTGCTGCTTCTAGAAACCAGGGCCGCTCCAGCTTCCATGTGTCTTCACTTGATGTCCCCTCTTTGCCACAGGTGATGTCCTCAATGATAGCCATGCTGAGGTCATAGCCAGAAGGAGTTTCCAAAGGTAAAGTCACAACCCCGGAGATTTAATCCAGCAGGTGTTGGGTGGGGCCCCAGAATTTGCATTTCTAGTAAACTCCCAGGTAGTACAAATTATATCCATCTGTGAACTACACTTTGAATAGCACTGTGGTCTAAATTAGTGATTCTCAAACTTGAGTGTGCATCAGAATCATCTGGAGGGCGTGCTAAACCCAGGTTACTGGACCTACTTCCAGAGATTCTTATTCAGCAGATCCAGGATGGAGCCTGAGAAATTGGATTTATTTTATTTATTTATTTATGTATTTATTTTGAGTCGGAGACTCACTCTGTCACCCGAGCTGGAGGGCAGTGGCACGCTCATGGCCGCAGCTTCAACTTGCTGCGATCCTTCTGCCTCACCCTTCCAAGTAGCTGGAACTACAGGAATGTGCCACCATGCCCTGCTAATTTTTTGGTTTATTGTAGAGACGAGGTCTCCATGTTGCCAAGGTTGGTCTTGAACTCATGGGCTCAGGCAGTCCTCTCACCTCCTCTTCACAAAGTGCTGGGATTACAGGTGTGAGCCACTGCACCAGGCTTGCTTTCTTTTTTTAAAGAGACAGGGTCTCACTCTGTCACCTAGTCTGGAGTATAGTGGTGCAATCATAGTTCACTGCAGCCTCGAACTCCTGGGCTCAAGTGAACCTCAAGATAGGATAGGTAATCATTCAAAACATTGCCAAATGTCCCCTGGGGTGCAAAATGTCCCCCAGTTGAGAATCACTGATTTATAGATTATCAAGTAGCTGGGATTACAGTTCTGAGCCACTGCGCCCAGCTGAAATTGGATTTCTAACAAACTCCTAGGTGACATTGCTGATGCAGGGACTAAACTTTGAGAATCACTGGTCTAGATGATTCTTATCATTCCAGGTCACCACCAGCCCCATTAGTCTACAGTAACATTTTCTTAGTAATCACACAGCCAGAGACTTTCCATTTACTACAGAGATTGGTTATTCATTCTAATAACATCTTGCAACTCTTAGGTACCTTCTCCATCAGCTCCAATTGGCAGTCGTCTTGAAAGAGGATAGTATCTTTGTCCCAGGAACTCAAAGAGGGCTATGGAAACTCAGACCAGACCTGTTTTTTGTATTTTTCTCCAGTCATACACCCTGTAAGTATATTCAAGCCTTTCTATTAATGTTACATCAACTGCTTACTTACGTTTGTCTTATCCAAGATATGTTTCCCAACAAAAGCACTTCTCACTGAAGTGTAGCTACAACTGGTAACAGTGCCTCTGTATGACAGACCAGTGTACCTAGTCACTTCTCTATTAAGGAGAGGGCAGAAGTTGGGGTGGAGGTGCAGTCTCACTCATCCTATTCAGTTCTCTGAATCAGGGTTAGGAATTTAAGGCTGAAATCCCACAAGATGTGCAGCCAACAATGGGACTTGGAAATCCAAGTTTCCTATAGTAACTTGTCCTGAAGCTCATTTCATTCATTCTTTGAACAAATATTCTCTACTGTTTGTCAGGCATAATATGTCATACTGGGTATACAGAAGTGTGTGAGACTAGCACATTACTTACCCTCATAGAGTCTTGTAGGGAATGTAAACAATTGTAGCAAGTCAAATTATGATGAGTTATAAGGGGATGTTCAGGTGCTGTGGTTGCATGAGGCAGAAAGACTAGACCTAGCCTAAGGGGTAATTTTTTTTTTTTTTTTTTGAGTCAGATTCTCACTCTTGCCCAGGCTGGAGTGCAGTGGCATGCTCACGGCCATAGCAACCTTGACCTGCTGGGTTCAGGCAGTCCTTCTGCCTTAGCCTTCCAAGTAACTGGAACTACAGGTATGTGCCACCATACCCAGCTAATTTTTTTATTTATTGTAGAGATGAGGTCTCGCCAAGTTGCTCAGCTGGTCTCAAACCCATGGGCTCAGACAATCCCCTCACCTCCCAAAGTGCTGGGCTTATAGGCGTGAGCCACCATGCCTGACCAGTAAGGGGTAATTTCTGTCCTCTGTTTTTCTTTCTCAAAACTTGAAAATAGTTTCTACCTTTTGTAGGCAACAACTCAGGATGGCAGTAAAATTTCCTCACTCTAAAAACTTTGAAATAAAGATACAAGATTGTCCTTTGTGTATTAAACTTTGACACATCCAGGCCTAGCATGGTGGCTTATGCCCATAATCCCAGCACTTTGGGAGGCCAAGACTGGAGGACTACTTGAAGCCAGGTATTCAAGATGAGTATGGGCAACATAGCAAGACACCATCTCTACAAAATAAAAATTTAAAAAAACACAAAACACCAAACATAAGCAATTAGTGCAGAGATAGGTAATCACTATAAAGAAACAATAGCTGTCAAGATTAGATTGTAACTCATGTTGAAAATATTGATACAGCTTAAGAAAACAAGACTGGGCGCTGTGGCTCACGCCTATGATCCCAGCATTTTGGGAGGCCGAGTTGAGAGGATTGCCTGAACCCACTGGTTCGAGACCAGCCTAGACAACTTGGCGAGACCTCATCTCTACAATAAATCAAAAAACTAACCAGGCATGGTGGCACATGCCTGTAGTCCTAACTACTTGGAAGGCTGAGGTGGAAGGATCGTCTAAGCCCAGGAGGTTGACACTGAGGTGGCCGTGAGCATGCCACTGCACTCCAGCCTGGGTGACAGAGTGAGACTCCAACTCAAAAAAAAAAAAGAGTGAGGAAAAGAGTTGACTGAGAGTTGAAGACCAGAAAAATGACCAGTAGTGGTAGGCAGTGCTCATCCATGCCCTATTCTTAGTAATGGGTATTCTGGTCCAAGGATGAGAGGATGTTTCCTAGTTAGTGTTTCTCAAATTATAATATGCATATGAAACACCTAGGGATCTTATTAAAATGCAGATTCAGATTCATTAGGTCTGGAGTGAGGCCTGAGGTTCTGCATTTCTAACCAACTTCCAGGGGATGCCAGTGGTGCTTGTCCGTTGACCACACTGAGTAGCCAGTGCCTGAATGATCCCACTGGCAGACATACCTTAGTGTAGAGACAGATGTATCCGGAGATCAGATAGCCTAATAACCAATCAAACTACATAAATCAGTGTTTTCCAGATAGATGCTACTCAATGAGAAGAGGCCCTGAAAAAAACGAGGAAAATGGAGACTGTAGTAAGGTTTTCAAAACAAAAGTTTTTCAATTTAAAGGTTATGAGATTTTTTTTAATGATGGTAGTTATGATTTTTAAAGATCTTACTTGATGGAATAATAAAAAGTTGGTAACCCTTTGATCATCTTAAAATCTTCTGGAAATGTCACTGGTAATCTTTTAAAATGTGATGGCCCCGTGGTTTGTCTGCAGAAAGAACACTACCTAGAGAATGTGACTCTCTGGCTCCCTTGGCATTTACTTCTCATTACTAATGAATAATTTGGTGGCTGGGTTAGCTACTTCAGACTCCTACTTGTGAGTTTTATTAGTATGAGTCAGCCTCTCACGTCCGGGCATTCTGTCCAGATCAAATCTCTGAGTCTGCAGAGTGGGAGGTGTACCCTGGTGAATTCTCCAAAGTCGCTGTCACCTTGTGAGGTTTCTGGAAGTCAACCAGCCAGCCTATCTGGCAACATTTTCACTTCTATATCTCCTGCTTTCCCACTCTTAGGTTTTAAAGATTAGAGATGTATTATTTACACACTTTAGAAAGCAACACATATTAGGTTAATGTTTGAAGAAACAGCTCCCTCCTCAAGGGATAGCTGTGCTTTTTACTGATCTCTGGTTTTCTTTGGTACCCTATAAGCACAGAATAGATCAGAAATATCTAAGCCACTGGAAATTTTGGAAACACCAGTTTAGACTGTGTAATTTACTGTAGAGTCTTTACTGTGGATCTGTGCATCATAAACTATCTACCATTTGGACATTTTGAGCAATGTTTGCCAAATTTAATTATGAAATAAATTACCCACTTTTGTTTTACAAAGCATCTTTTTTTTTTTTTTTTTTTTTGAGTTGGAGTCTCACTCTCACCCAGGCTGGAGTGCAGGGGCACACTCACGGCCACCACAGCCTCTACCTACTGGGCTCAAGTGGTCCTTCTACCTCAGCCTTCCAAGTAACTAGAACCACAGGCATGTGCCATCACACCAGCTAATTTTTCGATTTGTTGTAGAGATGAAGTCTTGCCATGTTGCACAGGCTGATCTTGAACCCTTGAGCTCAGGCAGTCCTCGCCTCCGCCTCCCAGAGTGCTGGGATTATAGACTTGAGCCACCGTGCCCGGCCACAAGGCATCTTATGGAATAGAATTCCACAAGATGCACTTGGGAAACCTTGCTCATTTTAAACCAGTGGTTCTCAACTAGGGAAAGCTTTGCTCCCTGGGAGACATTTGGCAACATCTGGAGACATTTTTCATTGTCAGACTGGGAGGTGCTATTGGAATCTAGTGGGTGGAGACCGAGTATACTGCTAAATATTCTATAATGTACAGAACAGCCCCAATAGCAAAGAATTATCTGATCCAGTGTGTCATTAGTGAAGTGATTGAGAAACCCTGGTCAACTAGGGTTTTTGGCTGGGTGCGGTGGCTCATGTCTATAATCCTAACACTTGGGAGGCACTCAAAAACCTAGGAGTTGGAAACCATTCTAGGCAACATAGGATTCTTATTTGGGAAATTTGGGTATGTGCTCTTACAGATCAGCTGGGAGAATAGATTGATCTTTATTAACCCAGGAGTTCTAAAACCAGAGCTTGCATCAGAATCACCTGGAGAACTTGTTAAAAACAAAGACTGCTAGACTTTACCTTCAAAGTTTCTGATTTAGCAGGTCTACTGTGAGTTTCACGAGTTTGCATGTCTATAGATTCCCAGGAGATGCTGGGTCCAGGGACCTCACCTTGAGAACCACTTGTTTAAGGAGTTTATTCTCCCGCAGGTGGGGATGCCTCTATCATTCCGATGCTTGAGTTTGAAGATCAGCCTTGCTCTCCTGTCAGCAGAGATTGGGCCAACAACCCATTAGGAGAACCCAGTGGTAACTTGGAAACTCTTGAAAATGAAAGGAAATGTGAAGACTTCAACAGTCCTGTAACCAAAAAGATGAGGCTTGAGCTTGGAACTCCAGCCAGGGAGGTCACCAACAGTGCAGCTTACCATCAGGGTTTTGGCAAGCAGGAAAGTGGCCCAGTCCTACCAGGTGTCAGCAGCTCTGATCTCACTGTAGAGGGACTGTTTGCTGACACCAGAATAGCCTCTGGTGGTGCCAAAGTGATAGATGTTCATAGAACTGGAGCCAAGTGTGTGCCTGGAGAAGTTGGAGACTCAGGGAAGCCTGGTGCTGCATATCACCAGGTAGGGCTGCTCCGTGTGAAGCCAGGCCGGGGAGACAGGACTCACTCTATGTCCTGCAGTGACAAGATAGCCCGGTGGAATGTCCTCGGATGCCAAGGGGCACTATTGATGCACTTCCTTGAAGAGCCCATCTACTTGTCAGCTGTGATCATTGGAAAGTGCCCATATAGCCAGCAAGCCATGCAGAGAGCCCTGCTTGGGAGGTGAGAGGGCAGGGAGGGAGGGCTCAGATGGAATGGTCATTCCCAGAGGTAGTCTGAGAGCATATCCACAGAACCTTAAAAATCTTCATACCACCAGGCACAGTGCCTTACGCCTGTAATCCCAGCACTGTGGGAGGCAGAAGCGAGAGGATTGCCTGAGCCCACAAGTTTGAGACCAGCCTGGGCAAGTTGGCGAGATCTCGTGTCTACAATAAATCAAAAAATTAGCTGGGCATGGTGGCACGTGCCTGTAGTTCCAGCTAATTGGAAGGCTGAAGTGGAGAGATCGCCTGAACCCAGCAGGTCAAGGCTGTGGTGGCCGTGAGCTTGCCTCTGCACTCCAGCCTGGGTGGCAGAGTGAGACTCCAACTAAAAAAAATAAAAAAAACACCATATCTTTTGGTCCTGCACTTCCACTTCTAGAAATGTGTCCAAGAAAGTATTCAAACATTTAGCTTTGTGTAAAGTAATTTTTTAAAAAAGAAACACCTGAAATGCCCAACAGTTAGATATTAAGTAATTTTTTGTTGTTAAAAGTATTATGGGTTGTTTTTCTGTTATTACTATACTTTTTAAGTTTTCTACTGTGTACATATTTTGCTATTATGTTATTATTAAAAACCCTAAACATTAGTTTTAATTTTTCAAAAGGTAAAAGGCAAAGGATGCTCACTCAGTGTGGTCTTTTAAGGGAGGCAGCCAAACCCAATTAATGTTCTAAATGAGGGCAGGGTGAAGCCATGGCCAGGCAAGCACTGTGGGCCCATGTCAGATGTGCAGCCCCAAGATGACCCAGCAGTTCTACTGCTAGGTAGAACCCAAGAGAAATGGAAACATATATCCACACAAAAACTTGTACACAAATATTCATAGCAGCATTATTCATAAGGGCCCCAGAATGAGACACATATCCATCAGCGGATGAATGGGTAAACAAAACGTGATCTTTCCATGCAATGGAATATGATTCAGTTGTAAAAAGGACTGAAGTATTGATACATGCTACAACATAATTGAACCTTAAGAATAAGCTAAGGGAAAGAATTTACATATTGTATGATTTCACTTTTGTGAAATATTCAGAATAGGTAAATCCATGAAGATAGTAGCTTAGTGGTTGTCGATGGCTGGAAAAGGGACTGGAGAGTGACTACTAAGTGCAAAGTTTCTTTTTGGGGTGATGAAAATGTCCTGAAATTATATTGTGATGGTTGGGCAATTCTGTGAATATGCTAAAAAAACATTGAATTATACACTTTAAATGGGTAAATGTCATGGTATGTCTACTTCCCTATAAAGATGTTTAAAAAAAAAAAAAAAAGACAGGCCAAGGCACTGTGCCCAGGATGCTTTCTGTGTTTTCTCTGTCATGGGACTTAAAGTTGCTATATGCTCAGTTCTAGACCAGCATCATGTTGGTATCTAGTTAGTGCAAAAGATACAAGAGAAAAAAATGAAACTTTTATATTATAGGATAATTTTGGCTTCTGGTGTGTTTGAAGGATTTACTAAGAAGCAGGTGCCAACAAGTTAATGTTTCTGCATAAAGTTTCTGAGTTTCCCAAAGCCTATATTAGGAATGGAATTTGGTGTTACCAATGTCACTAAAGAGTATTGACTTGATTTTTAGTCATTTCTTCAGAGTAATGGGAAGGTTCTTCCTCCATCCATAAGGTTCTTGTGATCTAGGTTGTATTCTGACATAGTCTCTTGTCCCCTGCCCCAATAAATAAATCCATATGCCTTCTTAGGCCTTTGAGTCCCACTAAGGCTCAGGGGTGATGATGTGGTCCTAAATACTGTTTTTCTTTTTCTTTTTTTGAGTTGGGGTTTCACTCTGTCACCCAGGCTGGAATGCAGTGGCACAATCACGGCTACTCTGGCCTTTACCTGTTGGGCTCAGGCAATCCTTTCACCTCACCCTCCCAAGTAGCTGGGACTATAGGTGCACACCATCATTTCTCAGCTAATTTTTTTGATTCATTGTAGAGACAAGGTCTCACTGTGTTGCCCAGACTGGTCTTGAACCCCTAGACTCAGGCAGTCCTCTCACCTCCACCTCCCAAAGTACTGGAATTACAGGCATAAGCCACTGTGCCTGACTAAATACTGTTTTTCTTTAAGCATACACCTAAACTGAATGCATTTTCCCTTACATATAGGTGTCAGAATGTCTCAGCTTTACCTAAAGGCTTTGGAGTTCAAGAACTGAAAATACAGCAGTCAGATTTGCTATTTGAACAGAGCCGCTGCGCGGTGCAGGCAAAAAGAGCTGACAGCCCTGGCCGTCTTGTTCCTTGTGGGGCAGGTAAGAGATCCAGGGTAGATTTGCCCTGGAGTAACTTCTCCCCTAACAGTGGCCTGAGAGGGTCTGCATCTTCCCAGCCTAGAAAGGCAGTTTACCACTGAAGTAGTCAATAGTGTGGGCTTTGGAGACACCCACACTGGATCAGATCTGTGTTCTGTGTGTTACTTATCCTTACTCGGCCTCAGTTTATCTTCAGATTAGAAGAATATAATTTTCAGGGCTTTAAGATTAAGTGAGAAATTCTGTTTAATGCATTTACTCTGTGTATAATGAATGCTCAATGATTGTTAGCTATTATAATGATGAATTATGAACCACTTTATACTATTGTAGGAAGCCAAGTATCCAAGTAGCAGTCACTGTCTGCGACATCATATCTACTCTCATGGGTCTGTCAACTCAGAGAAATGTTTTTATTAAAATACTTCTGGCATTCACAGGAAACTACAGTTTTAACCCTAGAGTTTTATCTTTCAATAGCCATCAGCTGGTGTGCAGTGCCTGAGCAGCCATTGGATGTTACTGCCAATGGCTTTCCACAGGGAACAACAAAGAAGACAGTTGGAACCCTTCAGGCAAGGTACAGCATGTTGGGGCAGGAAGAGCTGGTGGCTGTGGACTCACACCTTCCCACTAATTCCAGAACGTTTTATCTCTCCAAAAAGAACACCTGTACCTATTAGCAGTCACTTCCACTCCCACCTCTCCCCAGCCCCTGGGAACCACTAATTTACTTTCAGTCTCTATGGGTTTGTGTATTCTGGGCATTTCATATAATTGGATTTATACTGTATCTGACCTTTTGTATCTGGCTTCTTTCACTTAGTATAGTGTTTTGAAGGTACACCCATGATGTAGCATGGGTCAGTATTCCATTACTTTTTTATGGCTTGAATAATATTCCAGTGTATAGATACGCCACTTTTTTTTTTTTGAGTTGAAATGTCACTCTCACCCTGGCTGGAGTGCAGTGGCACATTTGTGGCCATTGTAGCTTTGACCTGCTGAGCTCAAGTGATCCTTCCACCTCAGCTTTCCAAGTAGCTAGAACTACAGGCGTGTGCCACCACACCTGGCTAATTTTTTTTTTTGTTATTATTCACTGTAGAGATGAGGGCTCGCCCTGTTGTCCAGGCTGGTCTCGAACTTGCAGGCTCAGGAAAGCCACTAGCCTCAACCTCCCAAGTGATGAAATTACAAGCGTGAGCCACTGTGCCCGGCCCAATATACCACATTTTGTTTATTAATGGATGTACATTTGGGTTGTTTCACTTTTTGGATATTGTGAATAGTGATGCTATGAGCATTCACGTACAAGTTTTTGGGTAACCATATGTTTTCATTTTTCTTGGGTATACTTAATAATATTTGTTTTCATCATGATAAAATCAGTCTATATAGAGAGAGAGCTAGCTATTTGAAAATATAAATTCTAAACTCCCTTTTTGAGGACCATGAACTACCAGCATTTCTCATAGTTATGTGTTTCTATTAGCTATAAAGAGTATTTGCTCTCTCCTTTTGTATGTTCAACTCTGCCAGGGAGCCCGCTTCTTTGACCTGTAAGAGATGTTCCAGGACCATCTGTTACTGCTCTCTCCAGTGCCCTGGTTCATTTCCTGGAGAATAGTGTCAAAACCTGAAGTTCATGAAGGAAAGGTGCACGTACAGATGCTTCTGGCCAGTCCTTGTGGTGTTTGGTTAATGTAGCTGGTTGGGGTCTCAGTGAATGCATGAGTCACAATGTTTCTTAAAGCTGAAAATCTTGACTAAAAGTAACTTAATTGTTTTATTAGTCAATACAAATAAATAATAATGATATTCACACTTACCATAAAGCTATTAGATGAATAAAAGACTTAACATTATAGTTGTCTTTGGTGACCACCCTTTGGTTATATTTTCACTAATATTTAGCAGATTACTTTGCTCAAGTAATAATTTTCTGAGTAGTAATTAGTTTCACTACATTTAATTAGTATAATTATATAAACACTTATCCAATATCTAGTTTTGTAGTTTAAGTTTCGGTTCTAGGGGATTGGTGTTTCAAACTGGCAGTTTTTACTTAGTGATAGCTTTAACTACAGGTTTTTATTAATGGTTTTTACCCATAGATAGATACATTAATTCAGTTCTACCAGGTCATCTTATTAATTAGGTGGAAAAAAAAGTGAACTGTTTGAGCTACACGGGTTTCATTTGTCTAACATCTTCCTGTGTACCCACAAAGACCCAATACATGGTTATATATTAAAGACTTCTATATGCATTACAAACTCCCTGCCAGACAGTCTTATTTTCTGTTCTTTTTTTCCCAGACTGGGATGCAGTGGAGCGATCATGACTCACCGCAACCTTGACCTGGGCTCAGGCAATCCTTCTACCTCAGTCTCCTGAGTAGCTGGGAGTACAGGTGTGTGTCACAACACCCAGCTAATTTTTAAAATTTTTTTGTAGAGACAAGGTCTCACTATGTTGCCCAGGCTAGTCTTGAATTCCTGGGGTCAGATAGTCCTCTAACCTTGGCCTCCCAAAGTGTTGGGATTACAGCCACCATGTCCGGCCCCATTTTCTATCCTTTATGGAAAAAGAAACTACACACATTTTATTGGAATCAACATGTTTTAAGTGAACACATGTCAAATTAGAAACTATATATGTGTGTGAGTCTGTTTGAGTCTGTTTCTGGACATTCTGTTCTGTCCTGTTGTTCTATTTATTCTGGTACCAAAACCACACTCTTAACCCTAGCTTTATAATAAGATAATTTCAGTTCCCCTGCCATGTCTTTCAAGAGTGTCTTGGCTGTTCTTGGACCTTTACATCTAAAGATCAATTTGAGGAAAATTGGCATCTTTCAGTATTGTCTTCCAAACCAGAAATATGGTATCTTTATAACTCTGTTGCCAAACTGGCAGTTGTGTCTTAGATTTATAATTGATAGAGTTTTTTTTGTTTTGTTTATTATTTTTTATTTTTTAATTAAATTTTTTATTTTAAATATGTGGGGTACAGTTCAGGGTCAGGTATACAAATGTTCATTATGCAGGTACCCTTGTTGATGAGTTGTGCCCCCTTCTCCCCCGGCAGTTTCCCTCAACTGCCAATCCCACCCATAAATGGTAGTTTTGAGTATTCTTATTAGATCTTATTGCATATACTGGGGGGAACCCAAAAAAGCCTGAAATCTATTAAAAATTGTGTATTTATTCTTACATGTTTATACTTCATACACCTTCAAAGTACTCTGTTTGATGCAATACATCTATCCAGACATTTTCCACTGCTCCAACCAGTTTTTGAACTTACCAGTTTTGATGCCTTTTAGTGCTTTTGCCATTTATTGTTTCACCCTCTTCCATATTGGCAAAACATTACCCTTTGAGGATCTTTTTAATTCAGGGGAACAAAAAAAAGAGGTTGCTTGGGGTGAGATCGGATGAATAGGGAGGGTAGGCCATGGGTGTCATGCCATGTTTGTTCAAAAACTGCTGAAAACTCAGTGCAGTGTGGACAGGTGTGCTCATAAATCATCCATCATGAAAAGGACAAATGCATTGAAAGAATCTTAAAAAAAAAAATTCACTGAAGCTGAATGCAGCCTCTTACAACAATGCTAGCTGGTACACTGATGCTGATGAGTTCCTAGAACACTTACTTAGCTGGGAAACCTATACTACAGAGGCCCACCCTCCAAAAAGTAATTCTGGAGTTTTTTGGGTCCCCCTCATATTTCAATACTTTTATAATTTTGTTTATATAAATCTGTTACATCTTATATTAGGTTTATTCCTTGAATGTGTATTAGTTATTTTTTCCTATGTGACAAATTACCCCCAAAATAGCAGCTTAAAATACCAGACATTTATTATTTCACACAGTTTATATGCATCTGGAATTTAAAAGTAGGTTAGCTAGGTCATTCTGGCTCAGGGATTTATGAAACTGTAGTCCATTATGTCTGCCAGGGCTGCAGTCATCTGAAGGCTTGACTGGAGCTGGAGCATCCAATCCAAAAATGACTCCCTCTCATGGGTGAGAAGCTGTTGTCAAGAGGTCATAACAAGGACCTCTCAGAAGGCTGTTAGAGTGTTCATCTTCACAATATGGTGGGTAGCATCCCAAAACAAATGATCCAAGAGAGCAAGACAGAAGTCAGAGTGTCTTTTATGACCTAGCTTCAAAAGCCACAGTCTATCTGCAATATTTTAATAGTTATTCAATTCAGGTAAGCCCTATTCAGTATAAGAGGAGATTGCACAGAGGCATGAATATCAGAAGGCAAAAATCACTGGGTACCATCTTGGAGGTTGGCTACCACAGATGCTGGTTTTTTCTTTCTTTTTTTTTTTTTGGAGGTGGAGTCTTACTCTGTTGCCCAGGCTGGAGTGCAGTGGCACACTTATGCTCACCGTAGCCTCAACCTGCTGGGCTCAGATGATGCTTCTACCTCAACCTTCCAAGTAACCAGAAGTACAGGCACACACCACCACAACTGGCTAATTTTTAAAAATGTATTTATTGTAGAGACGAGGTCTCGCCAAGTTGCCAAGGTTGGTCTCAAACCACTGGGCTTTGGCAATCCTTTCGTCTCTGCCTCCCAAAGTGCTGGGATTACAGGTGTGAGCCACTGTGCCTGGCCAACACAGATGCTATTTTCAGCAGTTTCTTTTTATCTCATTTTCTGGTTTTTACTATTTCAATTAATTTTTGTTCCTGAAGTCTTTTAGAATTTTTAATATAGATCATCTTCTATAAGTATAATTGACTCCTAAACAATGTGGAGATTAGGGGCACCAGCCCCTTGCACAGTCAAAAATCCATGTGTAACTTTTGGCTTTCCAAAAACTTAACTACTAGTAGCCTACTGTTGTCTAGAAGCCTTACTGATAACATAAACAGTAGATTAGCATACTGGGGGTGCCAAAAAAATGTGTACACATTTTTAGAGATGTTACCTATGTATTTTGGTTTGCTTTCATCAGAAGTGTCTGAATGCTGATGGTAACACCACTTTGAGCACCTCTTATAATTGCAGAAGTCAGATGTGGCTTGTATTCATCTTTTGTTATCGGTATATATTGAGTATTACAATTTTAATAGTTTTGTCCTTTCTTCAAATGTGTATAATTTTTTGGGTACCTTCTGTATATTTCGTATATGTGTTATTTATATATTCTTACAGTAAACTAGAGAAAAGAAATGTTAAGAAAATCATAAAGAAGAGAAAATATATTCATTAAGTAGAAATAAATCATCATAAAGGTCTTTATCTTTGTCATCGGCACGATGAGTAGGCTGAGGAGGAGGAAGGAGAGGGTTTGGTCTTGCTGTGTGAGGGGTGGCAGAGGCAAAAGAAAACCTACAGTTCAAACCCAAGTTGTTCAGTGGTCATCTGTGGCACTTTTTCCTTTTCAATCCTCCTTTCCTTTTATTTCTTGTCTGTGTTGCCTAGAACTGACTATATCACAGTCATCTGCAAATAATGACTTGATTTTTGTTTTTCAATTCTTATGTCTTTTTTCTTGTCTTACTGGCCAGAACCTTCTATATAATGTTGAATAAAAGCAGTGATAGCAAGTACTCTTGTCTTATTCCTGATTTTAAGGACATACATTAACTATAAGGTTTTTGTTTTTTGTTTTTTTTTTTTGAGTAGGAGTCTCACTCTGTCACCCAGGCTGGAGTGTAGTGGCACACTCACGACCACTGCAGCCTTAACCTGCTGGGCTTAGGCAATCCTTCCACCTCAGCCTTCCAAGTAGCTGGAACTACGGGCACGTGCTACTATGCCTGGTGTATTTTTTGATTTATTGTAGAGATGTTGTCTCACCAAGTTGTCCAGGCTGGTCTCGTACTGTAGGTTTTTTTGTAGATAACATTTATGAATTTAAGTACCGAATCATTCAAAGGATGTTGAATTCTACCAAATGCTTTTTTCTGCATAGTTTCTTCAGTTATATTATTTTTCTTCTTTAATCTGTTCATGGGAGTTCCATTAGCTTTTCGCTTTGTTTTCATGTTAAAGCAGCTTCTTATCCCTGAGTGCCTTCAGCCACTCCAGCACAGCTGAGGCCTAGGGAGAGCAGCTGGTAAGGCTCAGCGTTGCCCTTTAAGCAGTGATTGCTGAAATAGGCCAGGTCCCAGCCAGGTAGGGAGATTTTTGTTAGACTATGCAATTTCCTATTTCACATGTACAAGTTATGGCCACTGTGTTCAAGTGGAGGGTACAGTTTACTGGGATAAAGCAGGGTTATGATTGTATAAAGATAAGATTGCACATTGCTAGTACACACAGTATTTCTTAACTTCTAGATGCAGTTCATGAATTTTGTACATGAGGGAAAGAAAGGCAGCACATACAATCAAGGCCACCTCTAGCATGAAGGAGCAGAAACTAAGAAGGCCTAGATGGCTGTCTAAAGAATCAACACTCCAGGCTCAGTGGCTCAGCCTGTAATCCCGTGCCTTGGGAGGCCGAGGTGAGCAAATTGCCTGAGCCCATGGGTTCGAGACCTGCCTGGGCAACTTGGCAAGACCTCCATCTCTACAATAAATCAAAAAATTAGCCGGGCGTGGTAGCACACGCCTGTAGTTCCAGCTACTTGGAAGGCTGAGCGGAAGGATTGCCGGACCCCAGCAGGTCGAGGCTGCAGTGGCCGGGAGTGGCCACTGCACTCCAGTCTGGGCGACAAAGTGAGACTCCAACTCAAAAAAAAAAAAAGAATCGACACTCACTTCCTTGAGTATTCCAAGCCATGACCTCCATCCCGAAGTTTGATGTTCAGGAGCAAAGCCGCATAGTGCCCCTAGGGAGAGTCTGGAGATTCTGCCTCAGTCAGCTCATCTAAGTGGACTTTATGACTACAGTTAATGCAGGGACCAGCATTGAAGTCTCTGAAACAAAGCTTTCCATTTCTTATAAACAATATTATCCATAGAGGCCAGCTCCCTTGAAAGGAGATAGTTGAAAGTATCTTACAGATATCCTGGAGCAATGCACTTCAGTGTACTCATTTGAATTTGTCACTTTAATGATTCCACAGCTGATTACATTTCTTTCTTTCTCTTTTTTTTTTTTTTTTGAGTTGGAGTCTCACTCTGTCACCCAGACTGCAGTGCAGTGACCGCTCCTGGCCACCGCAGCCTCTACCTGCTGGGCTTCCGAGTAGCTGGAACTACAGACACGCGGTACCACACCTGGCTAATTTTTTGATTTATTGTAGAGTTAAGGTTTCGCCAGGTTGCCCTGGCGGGTCTCAAACCTGCAGGCTCAGGCAGTCCACTCACCTCAGCCTCCCAAAGCGTGGGATTATAGGCTGAGCCACCGAGCCCGGCTTCTTTTTTTTTTGGAGTTGGAGTCTCACTTCATAGCCCAGGCTAGAGTGCAGTGGCACGCTCACAGCCACCCCAGCATCAACCTGCTGGGCTCCAGGGATCCTTCCTTCCACCTCTGCCTTCCAAGTAGTCAGAACTACAGGTGCATGCTACCATGCCCAGCTAATTTTTTTTATTTATTGTAGACATGAGATCTCGCCAAGTTGCCTAGGCTGGTCTCAAACCTGTGGGCTAAGGCAGTCAGTCCCCTTACCTCGTCCTCCCAAAGTGCTGGGATTACAGGCTTGAGTCACCACGCCTAACTGATTACATTTCTTGAGATTCATTTTTTGTTTGTTTGGTTTTGTTTTTTTTTTTTTGAGTTGGAGTCACTCTGTCACTCAGACTGGAGTGCGGTGGCCACTCCCAGCCACTGCAGTCTCGACCTGCTGGGCTCAGGCGATCCTTCCACCTCAGCCTTCCAAGTAGCTGGAACTACGGGCACACGCTACCACTCCCGGCTAATTTTTTGATTTATTGTAGAGATGAGGTCTTGCCAAGTTGCCCAGGCGGGTCTCGAATCCGCGGGCTCACGCAGTCCACTCACTTCAAGCCTCCCAAAGCGCGGGATTACAGGCTGAGCCCCTGAGCCCGGCTCAGATTCATTTTTGTAATCTCACCCTGATCAGACATCCAGGTCTAGAATTTTTCCTTGCCAAGTACAGGTAATAATGGGGGATGGGACAGTCAAGCGTAAACACCATGTGAAGCCTGATATCTTTGGTAGGGGCCTGATACATAGTAAACAATCATCTTTGCCTTCTTTTTCCAAACAGATCTCGAATCAGCAAAGTGGAACTCTTTAGATCATTCCAGAAGCTGCTAAGCAGTATTGCAGAGGACAAGTTACCAGACTCCCTCAGGTGATGCTACTGACCCCATGTTTTTTCATATTTAGAAAGACTTCTGTTTTGATTCTGGCTCATGAATGGCAGGAAGTGTTGACAGGAGTGGTGATTCAGCAAACCAATGGGCACTTCATATTGCAGATATATGTGTGATCTAAATGGCAGAGGATGGGTGGTTTGGTGGTGCAGAGTTATAAAAGACTAAGGTTAGAACTGGGGCTTGGTCCCTTCCAGGCCCGCCCTTGATTCTACCTCCCAATGGAGAGCATTGTGGAAATGTAACTTATTGGAGAGGAATATATTCTGTTAAGAATGTTGCCCCTGGCCGGTCTCGGTGGCTCAGCCTGTAACTCCAGCATTTTGCAGGCCGATGCTAAGTGGATTGCCTGAGCCCTCAGGTTCAAGGCCAGCCCAGGCAACATGGCAAGACCTCATGTCTACAATAAATAAAAAATTAGCCAGCCATTGTTGGCTTATGCCTGTAGTTCCAGCTACTTGGAAGGCTGAAGCAGAAGGGTCACCTGACCCAGCAGGTTGAGGCTGTTTTTGCTCTGAGTGAGCCACTGCACTCCAGCCTGGGCGACAGAGTGAGACTTTGACTAAAAAAAATAAAAGAATACAGATGAGGAGAGACACATTGCACATCCTCAGGACACATCATCCTTCCAGCACGTCACTGCCTATCACCGAGCAGTAGTCTCACTCAAGCATTAGTGTCCAAAGTTTTTATTGGAGCTTTATTACATAGCATGGTTGATTGAATTCAGTCACATGTGGCCAATGATTCAGTCTCCAATTCCCTCTTATCTCATGAGGTTAGATTGATATAAGGTGACTTAAAAGCCCCATTTCTCTAATCTTTGATCTTTCTCGCATGACCATCACCATTCTGAAACTGTCATGGGGCCCACCATGAGTCATCTGGCTAAGCATAAACTTGTGTATGGTCAGAAGGGCCCATCATGAATAAAAAAGACATTTCTATTACTTGGGAATCTCCAAGGGTTTACAGGCTCCCTCCCAGGAACTAGTAACAAAGACCAACCAGATTTTTTATTATATGACCTTGGGGAAGCTAAAGAGAAGCTAGAAACTCCTGAATAAGGAGGCTAGCCACTTGTTATAACATGCGTACTGAAGGCAGTATTGATGCCCTCTAGTCAGTGGTTTGCTTGTTTGTCTGGAAAAACAAACCAAACTGGAACTGGGTGGGTTTCCATGTATTCTATATGTCAAATAAAACAAATCGGAATTTAAGTAAGGAAATACTTCTCTTTTTTTTTTTTGAGTAGAAGTGTCATTCTGTCACCTAGGCTAGAGTGCAGTGGCACACTCATGGCCACCACAGCCTTGACCTTCTGGGCTTAGGTGATCCTTATGCCTCAGCCTTCCAAGTAGCTGGAACTACAGGTGCATGCCACCATACCTTGCTAATTTTTTTTTTGAGTTGGAGTCTCACTCTGAGGCCCAGGCTGGAGGGCAATGGCATGCTCCCGGCCACCGCAGCCTCGACCTGCTAGGCTCCAGTGATCCTTCCGCCTCAGCCTCCCGAGTAGCTAGAACTACAGGCGCACGCTACCATGCCCAGCTAATTTTTTGATTTATTGTAGAGATGAGGTCTTGCCAAGTTGCCCAGGTGGGTCTTGAACCCGCGGGCTCAGGCAATCCACTCACCTCAGCCTCCCAAAGGCGCGGGATTACAGGCTGAGCCACCGAGCCCAGCTGCTAATTTTTTGATTTATTGTAGAGACAAGGTCTCGCCAAGTTGTCCAGGCTGGTCTCGAACTCCTAGGCTCAGGCAATCCTCTCACTTCCACCTCCCAAAGTGCTGGGATTACAGGTGTGAGCCACCGCGCCCAGCCTGGAATGTTCTTTTATAGGGAGGGGGAAACAAAATTAGGAGAAACCAGGAATAGGGGAGTGGAATGAGTAGGTGTCATGATGGAACAATGGAGCGGGGAACTTCTTTCTTTGTGTCTGCCAATTCTCAGAAGGAGATGTTGGCTCAGACTGAGGGTGGCCCAAAGTCCCAGGGTGTACAGGAAGTAGAGGAATGTAACTAATGCTTGGTCATATTAGCAGGTATTTTGTAGAGATTGGTCAGTGGATACAAATGGTTTAGCTGATCATTATGAGACAAGAGGAGTTTGGAGGGTCTTTGTCTGGTCTTGTTAACAGGGCATCCATGAGTCTTACCTAAGTCATAAATAGAAGGACTGTTTTTTGCTGTAAGCCATTTCCCATAGCACAAAAGAATAAGAGGGAGATTTCTTTTTGTTTTTGTTTTTTTTTTGAGTTGGAGTCTTATTCTGTCACCCAGACTGGAGTGCAGTGGCCGCTCCCAGTCACTGCAGCCTCGACCTACTGGGCTCCAGCGATCCTTACACCTCAGCCTTCCAAGTAGCTGGAACTATAGGCATGTGCTACCATGCCCAGCTAATTTTTGATTTATTGTAGAGATGAGGTCTCTCCAAGTTGCCCAGGAGAGTCTTGAACAGGCAGTCCACTCACCTCAGCCTCCCAAAGTGGAGATTTCCTAACTATACCTGTTTTCCAGAAGCATGAGACTCAAGTAAAATTTAACATTGTCACATATATAGATCCCACACCTTAAACAACAAAAAGCTTTTGGAAATTGCTCAAGCAACTGAAATCAACGTTTGCTGCTAGAAGCAACTTTTCTCTGTGCTGAGATGAACTGAGAAACGACTTGGGTCTCCTCAGATCTTGGAAGGAACAAAACTGTAGAAACAGCATGAAACTGAATCGTTAAGACATGAGTCTCAGTTTCTTCAACTATAAGATGGGACTAGTTTACATTAACTATGTCTTGAGATAGCTGAGAAAATTAAGGGAAATGTTGCATGTAAAGCATTTGAACCAGGGCCTGATTTGTAGTAGGGTTTTGATAACTGACAGCTGCTTTTTTTTTTTTTTGAGTTGGAGTCTCACTCTGTCACCCAGGCTGGAGTGCAGTGGCACACTCACGGCCACCCCAGAGTCAACCTCCTGGGCTCCAGCAGTCTGGAAAGACTCAGCCTCCCAAGTAGCCAGAACTACAGGCTCATGCTATCATACCTGGCTAATTTTTTTTTATTGTAGAGATGAACTCTCTCCAAGTTGCCTCAGCTGGTCAAACCCGTGGGCTCAGTCAATCCACTCACCTCAGCCTCCCAAAGTGCTGGGATTATAGGCTGAACCACTGAGCCTGGCTTTTTTTTTAGTCTAAGTCTTACTCTGTCACCCACTGCAGCCTCGGACTTCTGGGCTCAGGAGATCCTTCTGCCTCAGTCTTCCAAGTAACTGGGACTACAGGCATCCTGCACCATGACACCCAACTAATTTTTCAAATATATTTTTTAATTTATTGTAGAGACGAGATCTCGCCAAGTTGCTCATACCCTGGGCTCAGACAATCCTCTTGCCTCAGCCTCCCAAAGTGCTGGGATTACAGGCATAAGCCACCATGCCCAGCCTTCTTTCTTTCTTTCTTTCTTTTTTTTTTAAATAGAGACAGTGTCTCACTATGTTGCCCACACTGGACTTGAACTCCTGTAGCTGGGACTACAGGCACACACCACTATACATGGCTCTTGGTAGTTGTTATTTTTATTTGATAAGCATCTGTTCTGTGGCTAAGATATGTGAGCTCCAGAAATGTTAAAGAAAAATTATTCAGACACTTGTCAAAGATGGTAAAGAAGACTTTATTCAGGAGAAGTTTTACAGTAGGGGAAGGAGACTGGGCTGAACTCCAAATCCTAGCGGAGATATGTAGCCAAGGAGCAGGGTAGGGGTCAGTGGGGGGAAAATCACTAAGAAGAAACATCAAGGCTGGAGGATTCTTGCTAGACCCACTCAAGGGAATGCTTGCTGAAGGCAGGCCAGGGTGATAAGTTATGAGGGGTGGCAGTGAGGAATTTGGTTAGACATTGAGGATGATCAGACACCAAGGGGCTGGGATCTTTTTGCTAAACTGACTCAGCAGGATTCTTGCTAAAACTGGACTAAGTGGGCCAAGGACAATCCAAGATCAGCCTAATCAAAAAGAGGACTCAGGAGATTGACTCAGGTTAGGTCAAAGAAGAGTCTTTGTCAGAAGAAATCTTTTGGCTGAGTGTAAGTATTACAAGATTACTCATCCTGTCAGCTATTCTTCAGCACTCAGAGATGGCTAAGGGATCTGGAAAGGGGTGTTGGCAATATGTAGGAAAATATGGATAAGATGAAAAGTCTTTGTTGGTTAAGAAACACACAGCTGAGAAGTCTTCTTTGGTAGAAGTTATAGACCCTTAGAAACTTTGAAGTCAAAAAAGTAAATCGTTACTCTTGTTTTATCTGATTCCATCAGGGCCATACGAAACTAGCATTCTGTTCATTCTTACCTGTTTTAATTCATGTTACTTTCTATTGAATTCCCTGCAAAAGACACAGAGTTGCTCCAGAAAAATGTTGAAGTCAGAGTGAAAATGTAAAGATGAATCTCTAAATTTAATGTTTTATGTGGGATACAAGAATTGCAGTTTGAGGCATACACACAGACTGGCTGGTTTCTAGTATGTATAAAGAACAAAGGGTGGCTGAACGAAGCATATTTGTATACCTAACCTTAACTATAACCCACCTTAACTATACCCCACAATATCATAATAAAAAATATTGATTAAAAAAAAAAAAGAACAGAGAGGGCTAGAGGTTTTATTTTTTTATTTTTTATTTTATTTTATTTTTATTTTTATTTTTTGAGTTGGAGTCTCACTGTCGCCCAGACTGGACCACAGCCTCGCCTGCTGGGCTCCGGCAATCCTCCGCCTCAGCCTTCCGAGTAGCTGGAATTACAGGTGCGCGCTACCACGCCCAGCTAATTTTTTGATTTATTGTAGAGATGAGGTCTCGCCTGCCCAGGCGGATCTCGAACCCGCGGGCTCGGGCAATCCACTCACCTCAGCCTCCCAAAGCCGCGGGATTACAGGCTGAGCCACCGGGCCTGGCTATTTTTTTTTATTTTTGAGTTGGAGTCTCACTCTGTTGCCCAGGCTGGAGTGCAGTGGCATGCTCATGGCCACCGCAGCCACAACCTGCTAGGCTCAGGCAATACTTCCACCTCAGCCTTCCAAGTAGCTGGAACTACAGGCACGTGCCACCATGCCCAGATAATTTTTTGATTTATTGTAGAGATGAGGTCTCACCAAGTTTTTCAGGCTGGTCTCGAATGCATGGGCTCAGGCAATCCTCTCACCTTGGCCTCCCAAAGTGCTGGAATTATAGACATGAGCCACTTCACCCGGCCAAGGTTTTATTTTAAAAAGATAAATGTTACATATTGTTCATCAAGAAAGCTCTTTGACATTAGTAAACTCTTAGGGAGCAACCAAGTGATGGTGTTGGTAAAACTAGTCTTAGAGTCCATAGCAGCGTATTTCAGAATCTATTAAATAAAACTGGTTTCAAGTGATAGCCAGCAGTTTCAACAGCCAGGCTTACAGGGAATTACATTCCTCATGCAATGTTAGGTACCATGAGTGCTTTTTACTTCTGGCTTCTTGATTCTGTTTTAGTTGGATATGAAAAGAATGGTCCAATTTATATGATCAGCTGTCATGAAAGCTTACTAAAATTCTTCTGTCCAAAGTCTCTCATTATAAATGTCACCTGCTTGCTCAGGAGTCTGGTTAGCCCCATGGGTGAACTGTTCAGTGAGAACCTGTGTTTTTGTTGGTGTTGTGCACATTAGGGTGCGTAAGCTGGATACCTACCAGGAGTACAAAGAGGCTGCATCTGCTTACCAGGAAGCCTGGAGCACACTACGGAAGCAGGCGTTTGGATGCTGGATCAGAAACCCACCGGACTATCACCAGTTTAAATGAGAAGGAAAAGTTTTCAAAATGTCAGGACCCTTCATATTGATCCGCCTTCTTCCTTCAAGTTGGACATGCCTGAGCTTTTCCGGTTGCTAAATCAGAGGCAGGGAAAGCCCTCTCCCAGAACACTGTATCTGTTTTGTGTAATGTAGATGGAATCCGGAACATGGAGCAATCTATATTTGACTGAAGTAGCTCTCTGCTAAAATGGCATCTCACTAATGACCTTGGTTCTGACTTCAGTTGTGTTTTATTGCTTCTCTAAAATATGAAATTAGAGTTTGAAACATGATGCTTTAAAAGTACTCTGCAGCAGCTCTGTTTTATGTGTTCCTGAATCAGCAAATGTTTATTGGGCTGAAATGATGTTTAAGCCTCTATAGACTTTTCAGTTCACCTGGCAGAGTGAACATGTATTTTGTATTTCCAGCCTTTCTCCCTTTGGAGAGCCATCCTTTTCCCATTCTTTGGTGTTCCTGCTCTGTGCGTTGGACTTGGTTGAAGCTAACGTTACTCTCTGGCTCCAAGAATGAGCCTGTGAGCCAGCCCTGGCCTGTCCTGGAACTCTTCTCAGAGCTATTGGGAAAGATTATCTCTTTGATCTGGAGCTATGAGTATGGGCCACATATTTTTGAAGCTACCTATGACCATCTTTTCCTACCATATAGAGACAGCCAGCAGAGAATGAAGACAACAAAAAAGGAGACAACCAAGAGAATCAGAGATCTAGTGACACTGTTTGGATGTCTGAAGCCAGTGTCTACCCTCAACTTCAATTATGTGAGACAGATTTCTATTATTGTTTTGATTAAGTCTGTTTAAGCTGGTTTCCTGGGTTTCAACTCAGAGTCCTACAACAAATCAGCAAAAGATCAGCAACGATCCTGTTTTAGCTAACATCTAATGTTTAACACTTAATCTCTTCACACCTTGAATTATTGGAAGCTCTCATGTTGGGGTTACTCAAGTTCTTTGTCAGTTCTTTAGTATTTTGTAGCTATAAGTATTTTTTTTTTCAGTCAGAGTCTCACTCTGTCACCCAAGCTGGAGTGCAGTGGCATGCTCACAGCCACCGCAGCCTTGACCTTCTGGGCTCAGGCGATCCTTCCACCTCAGCTTTCCAAGTAGCTGGAACTACTGGTGCGTGCCACCATGCCTGGCTAATTTTTTTATTTATTGTAGAGATGAGGTCTCACCAAGTTGCCCCAGGCTGGTCTCGAACCTGTGGGCTCAGACAATCCTCTTACATTGACCTCCCAAAGTGCTGGGATTATAGGCATGAACCACTGCGACCAGCCTTAAATTTTTTTTTTTTTTAAGATTTGGAGTTTCACTCTGTCGCCAAGGCTGGAATGCAGCGGCACGCTGCTCACAGCCACCACAGCCTGGACCTGCTGGGCTCAGGCAATCCTTCCACCTCAGCCTTCCAAGTATCTACAACTACAGGCACGTACCACCATGTCCGGCTAATTTTTGTTTTATAGAGATGAGGTCTCGCCAAGTTGCCCAGGCTGGTCTCGAACCCATGGGCTCAGGCAGTCCTTTTACCTCAGCCTCCCAAAGTACTGGGATTATAGGCATGAACCACTGTGCCCAGCCTAAATATTTTTTAATAACAGCTTTACTGAGATATAATTAATAGACTATAAAATTCACCTACTTAAAATATAAAATTTAGTAGTTTTAGTATACTCACAGAGTTGAGCAACCATCAGCTTTAGAACATTTTCATCACAAAGAAACATTGTGTCTGTATGCCTTCCAGGGCTTTCTTTTTTTTTTTTTTTTGAGTCAGAGTCTCACTCTGTCGCCCAGACTGGAGTGCAGTGGCCGCTCCAGGCCACCGCAGCCTCGCCTGCTGGGCTCCGGCGATCCTTCCACCTCAGCCTTCTGAGTAGCCGGAATTACAGGCATGCGCTACCACACCCGGCTGATTTTTTTTTTATTTGTTGTAGAGATGAGGTCTCGCTGCCCAGGCGGGTCTCGAACCCGCAGGCTCAGGCAATCCACTCACTTCAGCCTCCCAAAGGCGCGGGATTACAGGCTGAGCCACCGAGCCAGCTCCAGGGCTTTCTTAACGAAGTACCACAAACTGGTGACTTAAAACAGCAGAAATGTATTCCCTCTCAGTTTCGAAGGGTAGAAGTTCAAAATGAGGTTGTCGAAGAGTTTATGCTCCCTCTAAAACTCTGGGGGAAAATCCTTTTCTTACCTCCTGCTTTGCCCTTGGTAGCTCTTGGCAGTCCTTGGTATTCCTTGGCTCATAGCTGCATCACTTCAATTTCTACCTCTGTCTTTACATGTCCTTATAAGGACCCCTGCCATTGGATTTAGGGTCTATCTTAATCCAGTCTGATCTCATCTTAACTATCTGCAATGATCCTCTTTCCGAATATGGTCACATTCCAGGTAGATATGAAATTTAGGGGACACTGTTCAACCCATTACAGAACCCATTAGCAGTCACTTCCCATTTCTCCTCAACTCTCCCATCCCTAGGGCAACCAGTAATCTACTTCCTTCTCTGTGGATTTGCCTGTTCTGAACATTTCATGTAAATGAAATCATATAATATATGGTCTTTTATGACTGGCTTCTTTCACTTCATGTAATGTTTTCAAGATTCATCATGTTGTAGCATGAATCCAGACTTTATTCCTTTTTGTGGGATAAAAATAATCAGTTGTATGGATATACATGTTTTATTTATCCAGTCAATTGTTAGACATTTGGGTTGTTTTCACCTTTTGGTTCTTGTAAATACTGTTGCTGTGAACATTTATATATAAGTTTTTATATGAATATATGTTCTTAAAACTTTTTTAATTACAGAAGTAATAATGTGTGTCATAACAACTTATCCTTGCTTTTTTTTCCCCCCAAAATCCTTTTATATAGCAGGCAAGAAAGGTAAAAGCAATGCTATCTAAAGATCAGAGTCTGCAATATTCTGCTTGAATCAAACACAGTTTCTTTTGCCTGACTCCCCGTCTCCCATTATGACAGCAGTTAGCATACCTGGACTGGCAGGAGCTTTTATCCGCAATCACTTTTATTTTAAAGGATAAAGATTTATATGAGAATGTAAGGAGGTAATGTCTTTGTATTCCTAAATCTTATCAGGAAATTTATCACAGTTGCACCCAGAAAAGCCTCTAAATGTTTTTTTTAAAAATTAGACTTTAGAATAGAGACTAGAAAAACCCTGACAGCTAGAGACTAAAGGCAGCTTCGCCTTGGGCTGTACCTGTTTTGTCAAGAGCTAAAAGTGGTGCTTAAACATCCAACATTCTACATTTTATTTTAATCTCTTAAAACCCAAGTTTAGAATCTCATCTGTGCCTTAAAATCACATCTGCAATATTGGCAGTTTCTCAAATTTCATACACTTAATTAGATCATGTTCTTTTACTAGTGTTTCATAACCCATATTTGACCAATAAGTGCTTCTAATCTTTAAATACATTTTTAAACTTGTTATAGAAGTTTTTAAATAGACACAAATATAGAATAATGCAGTGGACTCCCATGAGCCATTACACAAACTTAAACATTAGCTTCATGTTCTTTGAACAAGATCTCCTCCAAATTTTTTTTTTTTGGACCATTTTAAAGCAAATTCTAACCATCGTATTTCACCCAGCAAAATTAACAATAATTTTTAATATCTAATGTGCATGCTTCAGTTTTCCCATGTTATCTCAAAAATATCTTTTGACCAGGCGTGATGGCTCACACCTGTAATCCCAGCACTTTTTGAAGTTCAAAACCAGCCTAGACAAATAGTAAGACCCCATCTCTACAAAAACTAAAATAATTAGCTGGACATGGTGGTGTAGGCCCGTAGCCCCAGCTACTCAGGAGGTTGAGGCAGGAGGATCACTTGAGCCCAGGAGGTCAGGGCTGCAGTGATACAGTGAGCCGGGATTGTGCCACTGTACTCCAGCCCGGTTGACTGAGCGAAACCATGTCTCAAAAAAAAAAAAAAAAGGAGTCTCACTCTGTCATCCAGGCTGGAGTACAGTGACATGCTCACAGCACTCAGCCTTGATTAGATTCTTGAATCTTGATTTTATTTGACATGAATGTGTCTTAGATGATTCTGCATCTCTGTGTTGCATCTTATCAAACAGTACATAACATCTGGTGGTCCCACTTTCAGCGACTGACCAATGGAGTCTGTGCTGTCAACCTGGGCTATCCCATTACAAAGTACCCCACCACTGTTTCACCTGATGGTTTTTTTTTGTTGGTTTTTTTTTTGAGTTGGAGTCTCCCTCTGTTGCCCAGACTGGAGTGTAGTGGCCGCTCCCGGCCACCACAGCCTCGACCTGCTGGGCTCCAGCGATCCTTCCACCTCAGCCTTCCAAGTAGCTGGAACTACAGGTGTGCGCTACCACGCCTGGCTAATTTTTTTTATTCATTGTAGAGATGAGGCCTCACCAAGTTGTCCAGGCGGGTCTCGAACCTGCGGGCTCAAGCAATCCACTCACCTTGGCCTCCCAAAGCTCTGGGATTATAGGCTGAGCCACCGAGTCCGGCCTACACCTGATGGTTTTAAGCAGTCATCTCAGGGATCTCCAAGATCACCCTCAGGTTCAATGATTCACTAATGGATTTACAGAACTCAGAAAAACTGTTATACTCATTATTTCTGTTTATTTCAGTAAAAGAATGCTGATGAAAGTCAGCAAGAGGAAAAGGTGTATGAGCGAAGTCCAGAAGAAAGCAAGCACAAGCTTCTAGTTGTCCCTTCTGAATTAACCATGGACTTATGATACTTTGACCCGAGCAGGGGACCTTGCTGACCCTGAGAGATTGCCCTCCCAGGCTAGCCAATTTCTAGAGCTAGAGATAGTAAATGACTCACCTAGGAGTGCACCTTTCATATGCAGACTGAAGAGTGAGGGATTTGGAGCCCAAATCCCCACCACCTTCCTTATCAGACTCTTACACTCTGGATCACTAGCCACCTGACCTAATCACCCGAGGACTAGGTACCAGAAGACTAGACACACCCCTGAACCCAAGCTATTCAAACTCACCAATCCTCAACCTGCTTACTCTGCCCTGCCCTTTTCCTCCCACAGAAACCGTAAGACTCTTAGCCACTCTGTCCCCTCACTCCCCAAGCCTCCTCACCAACCTTGGTGCTTCCCTGTGTGGCTCCCAGTGGTATGCCATGCCCCTCTTGGGATCCATGAGTATAGCGGGCTATCTTGTCAATA